CCATGCTCCTCTTTACTACAGAATTGGAAAATCCCCCACACCAGAGGATTATAGTCAAACCACCATCCAGCTTGTTAGAAAAAAAATTGTGACCCTTCCAATACACAGATCAGCTCTGGGATCCTTGTTATTTCTGTCATCTAACCCGAACTACATCCGCAGTCCAAAATGTGGCCTGTTAGTGGCCTTGTGGGTGCTGCAATTCAAAGTCGCTTCCTCTGGAAGAGCAGGAAAATCTCTTACTGGTTGAGCCATCTCTCCAGCCACCTCAATCTCAATCTTTTTGTTTGTTTGTTTGTTTGTACATGATGTCATGTATCTCAGGCTAGCCTTGAGCTCACTTTGTGGCCCACACTGTCTTTAAACCCCTGTCTTGACTGCCCAGTACTAGCATGCCAGGTATGCACCGCTAACACTCCATTCCTGAAGGGCCGGGGATCAGACCTGACTTATATTCATGCCAGCAACAGAGCCTCATCCCCAGGCTCTCAAGTCAATTTCCTTTTCAGTCAGAGTCTCATTATATAGCCCAGGCTAGCCACAAATTCACCATCTTCCTGCCTCAGCCTCCCAAGGCCTGGGTACAGGTATGACCTACCGCACTTGGCCTCAAGGCTTACCCTCTGCGACCCACTTCCTCCAGCTGGGCTCCACCCACCCTCTGCAACCCACTTCCTCCAGCTGGGCTCCACCTCCTTAAGGCTTTAGGACCCCTACTGAGCACAAAGGAGATAGTACAGACTCAAATTACAGTTGTCATTTTATTATTATTATTAATTTTGTGTGTGTGTGTGTGTGTGTGTGTGTGTGTGTCATCAGTGAGCATCAGTTTCCCAGGAGTTGGAGGTACAGGTGGTTGTGAGCCACCCTAGGTGGGTGCTGGAACCCACCTTCAGGAGAACAAGAGCAGCAAGTGCTCATAACCACTAAACCATCTCTCCAGCCCCAACAACGGCTATTTCAAATGTGTCCACTTAAGGGTTTTGCTTTCCAGCCCAGCCCAGTGGTGCACGCCTTAATCCCAGCACTAGGGAAGCAGAAGGCAGGCCTATCTCTGTGAGTTTGAGGCTAGCCTCGTCTACATAGTGAGTTCCAGGACAGCCAGGGCTACATAGTGAGACCCTGTCTTGAAAATAAAAAGGGTGGAGGGAGTCTTTCTTTCCAGTGCAATCGCCCCCCCCCCCCCCCCCACACACACACGGAAGAACAACCAAACAGGAAATGCGATTCCTCCTTTTGTTATCTCTGAGTCTGGTGTGTGTGTGATGGTGTGTGACTGGGAGGCTCTCATGCAATGGCACACGATGGAGTCAGAGGACAACCTCGGGCTTTGGTCCTCGCTTTCCACCTTGTTTGAGGCTGCTGCGCTCACCACACTAGCTGGTCCTTGAGCTTCCAGGGCCTTGAGCTTTCCGGGGACATTCCTGTCTGCACCTCCCATCTCTCCCTAGACGCACTGGGATTACAAGTACACATTACCTCAGCAGGCTTTTGCATGGGTTCTGAGTATTTGAACTCAGGTCCTCACGCTTGCACAGAAAGTGTTTTTCCCACTGAGCCCTGATTGATTGTACGAATCCCGTCCAGGCATCCGTTTAAGCCATGGGGGAGGTCTCCTCCCTGAAACAACAGCACGTCAGCCGGACACAACCTTTCCCCTGTTTTCCTTCAGGCTTGTTCTTTATCAACAGATCAAGATCCAAACCAGCCCTGAGTCAACCCCTCACCTAGCTGCTCAACAATGTGACCAGAATGCCGTCCACCTTGTTCTCCAATATCCCTTTTGCAAAGGTGATCGGTAGGTTTCCAGGGCTTCCACATGCTGGGGAGGCAGAGTTCCTGGACCTCTGTCTCCGAGAGAGAACGCCTAACAAGGTGGATCAAAAGCTTTTGAAGATTTCTCTAGGCAAAGCAACACGCCAGCAATTTGCTTTTGCGGTGTGTGGGCGGATGCGTGTTTAAATTTAGAACCGACAAAAAGACTTTGCTGAGAAATCTATACGCTCCTTGCCTCTTGAGTATTAGTGCCATGAAACCCTAATCTTCCCCCTTCACGTGCCAACCGCGAGAATGCTCAGAAACGAGTTTCCTCTCGATCTGTGTCTGTTCCCATCATGCTTTGTATGCATGCCTTTTCTTTTACACCACCAAGAAATCATTTTGGAAGCAAGCTTCATACAGCTCGACGGAGCTTTGGATAAGGAGTCATTAACTCAAGGAGGGAGGAAATTTATTGAGAAGAATGCCTGAGCTGTCTAAGGACTTGAGTGTGTAAGCAGAAACGGGGATTTTTTGGGGGCAGTCAGCAGAGTGTACAGAAAAGCTTCTGAAGTGGGGTTTTCAGGACTCTGGGAAAAGGTCTCAAGGTTGCAGCTTTTCCCAGTGTCTGCCCAAGACATTCCCAGTCTGTGAAACCTCCATCAGGGTGGCAGGGGAGCTTTCTGGCTTGGATGCAAAACTCACCCCGCAGTTCAGGAACTTCCTCCTGCTTTTCCCTGAGACTCAGTGAGGTCAGGGGTTCCAGGAATTAGCTGGGACCTGGTGAGGGTCAGTGGCCCAGGCTCAAGTATCCTCAGCCAGCATCAGGAAACCAGGTCAGGCATCAAGCTGAACATCAGGGAAGGTCAGGGTGGGGTCAGACCACGCATTCGAGCATTCTGTTTTCAAAGGGGCTCATGGCGTTTCTAAGGCGGCTGCAAAAGATGAACTGATCTAGGTCTATAACAACAAAGGGATGGGTAAGGAAAACGTGAAGTATATACACAGTGGAGCCTCGGCTGTAAAGAATGAGGTGAGGCCAGCAAGATGGATGTCAGTGAAGTTCTTACCTTGCGAGCACAAAAAACAAAGTTCCATCCCCCAGAGGCCATGTCTAAAAGCCTGGAGATCTGGCACAGCCTGTAAGCCCAGCACTGGGAAAGTGGAGACAGGCATATACATCCCTGAGCTTGCTACCTAGCTCAAGAACCTAGCTCAAGAAACAAGGTGTAGCCGTGTGTGGTAGCACACCTTTAACCCCAGCAGAGGTGAGAGAATCTCTGAGTTTGAGACCAGCCTTGCGTGCATAATTAGTTCCAGGCCAGCTAAGGCTACAGAGTGAGAACCTGTCTCAAGGGGGCGGGGAGGGAGCAGAACAGAACAGAAAAAAGGTGGGTATACAGCTCCAGAGGAACAGTAACTAAATTGATCTCTGACCTCCACACATACCTGCACCCCCCCACACACAGATAGGAATATACACACACACGAATGAGGTTATGTCATTCTTAAAAGTAGTCAAGCCGGGCGGTGGTGGCGCACGCCTTTAATCCCAGCACTCGGGAGACTGAGGCAGGCGGATCTCTGTGAGTTCGAAGCCAGCCTGGTCTACAAGAGCTAGTTCCAGGACAGGCACCAAAAACTACAGAGAAACCCTGTCTCGAAAAAACAACAACAACAAAAAAAAAAGTAGTCGAAACTGGAGGTAATCATGGTAAGCAAATTAAGCCAGTCTCAGTAAGACAGGTATTGTATGTTTTCTCTCAGTTGCAGTTCCTAGGTTTTACATAGTCACAGGAAACGTGTGTGTGTGTGTGTGTGTGTGTGTGTGTTAAGTGAAAGAAATGAATTTGTTTGGGAAAATGAGGATTAACAGAAAGGAAGAGGAGGAAAGGGCAGGTAGAAGGAATAAAGAAAAAACGTTCAATTTGAAATCTATACTTTTATGAAAAAAATCGTTTTAGTTTAATGGCTCAATGTTATGAGCATTTGCTGCTCTTGCAAAGAACCAGGTTTGGTTCCCAGCATCTACATGGCAGCCCACAACTGTCTGTAACTCCAGTTCCAGGGAATCCAACTCCCTCTTCTGGCCTCTGAGGGTACTGCATGTACATTGTACACATACATTCCAGGCAGGCAAAAATACACAAATAAAAAATAAACAAATACTGTTTAATTTTTTAAAGCATTCTGTCAGATGAGCAATACCTATTTAAATGAGTAGATTTGTTTCTCAATACCCAAAAGAAAGAAAGGAAGAAATGAAAAACAGAGGGAAAGAGGAAAGAGATTAAATGGGGGCTGGAGTTTAGCTCAGTTGGTGAGTTTGCACAAACTCCTGGAGTTTTTTTGTTTTGGTTTGGTTTCTGGTTTTTCAAGGCAGGGTTTCCTCTTTGTAGCCCTGGTTGTCCTGGAGCTCGCTCTGTAGACCAGGCTGGTCTCAAACTCACAGAGATCCACCTGCCTCTGCCTCCCAAGTGCTGGGATTGAAGTTCATGTGCCACCAACACCCAGCCAAACTCCTGGATTTTATCCCCACAACACTTAAACCATGCATGGTAGGGCGTGCTTGTCATCCCAACACTTGGAAGGTGGAGGCGGGAGGGTCAGGAGTTCAAGGTCACCCACCCTTGGCTAACCTAGGCTACTTAAGACCCCATCTCAAAAAAAGAAAATAATCCCAGAACTCCGAAGGTAAATCCCCATGAGTTCGAAGCCAGCCTAGTCTACATAGTGAGTTCCACAACAACAGGGCTACATAGAGATACCCTGTCTCTAAAAAACAAACATACACACACACAGAGAGAGAGAGAGAGAGAGAGAGAGAGAGAGAGAGAGAGAATCAGTCAGTCAGTCAAAGTCAGGTACACACCAAATGAAAATAAACATAAACCGGGCGGTGGTGGCGCACACCTTTAATCCCAGCACTTGGGAGGCAGAAGTAAGTGAATCTCTTGAGTTCGAGGCTACACAGAGAAAACCTGTCTCCAAAAAAACAAAAAAGTAAAGAAATAGTAACTATTATGGCCATCCACTCCACAGCTGGGTCCACAGCCGGGACACGAAGCCCTCTACACTGGGTTCAAGCACCGCCCACAGGGTCTAGAAGCGCCTAGACCCAGAGGCGACACAGAGTTCTTTTGTCACGAAGCCTAGCGGTCCCCGCAGCAATGCGGAACCTAAGGCTCTGGGATTGCGGCGAACCACGGACCGGACTAAAGACCGGAACCGGAAGTTCTCTTCCCGCGCGCGTTTGCGAAGTGTGAGCTGGCTCAGTTGTGCCCGGACTTTTGTTTTTGCCGTGGTCGATGTGGTGAGCGCTGGTTGCTGCTGGTTTCAGACCCGGCTGCAGTCGGTAGTGCCCCAGCCGTCCCCAGCCCTGCGGGGTCGGAGAGCTCGGTAGTTTCCCTTCTCCCTGGTAATCTACAAGTAGGTGACAGCGGGGAGAGCGATGGGTTGTAATCGCAGGCAGTGTGGCTGGACAAAGACACTAATAGAAGCCTGTCTGAGCATGCGCACACTCGGTTTTGAGCCGGGGTAGGATATTAAGATAGTGTCTCTCCCACGTAACTCAGGCTGACCTCGAACTCGGGGTCCTCCAGCCTCGGCCTTCCTTGTGCAGGGATGACAGGCATGCACTACTACTTAAAACTTTAAATGGCTTGCTTGGCATTTCTGCTTTGGAGCTCCAGGATGGACCTGACTGAGTGCTCCCTCCCCTTTTTCTTTCCTTTATGACTGAAGCCCCCACTGAAGAACACAACCATGGAAGACAAACCATTGGTAGTATCTAAACAGAAGACAGAAGTGGTATGCGGTGTGCCCACCCAGGTGATCTGCACGGCCTTCAGCAGCCACATCCTGGTTGTGGTGACCCAGTTTGGGAAGATGGGTACGCTAGTCTCCTTGGAACCCAGCAACGTGGCCAATGACATCACCAAGCCAATGCTAACCACGAAAGTCCTCCTCGGGAAGGACGAGGTAAAGGGGTTGGGAGAACAATCTTTTTCTGGGAGTCATTTGTCCAGAAGGATATGGGGTGTCTGATAGGTGCCCCTCTGTACGCACCCAAGGACACAGTAAGCGTTCTCCAGGACCTTTCAGATCTGAGGGTGCCCTGGCTGCCCCGAATGATGCTTTTCCTGGCGTGTCAGCATTTTATTCAACACTCAGTGGAGGTATTGATTTTTGTGACACAGCCATCTCCTCAATTTGACCCCCATTGTGTGGCTTTATGCTAATGAAGGCTTTATGTGTATGTCTGCTTCTTGAGTCTTGACAGCAATCCCCTCTGCAGGCATGTCTGTCTGGGTTAGGGGTAACCACAAGATGGTACCCAGAGACACCCAGGGAAAATCTTAATGATGCCTCGTCGGCAGCTGGTTATGTCTGCCGTGTGCAGTCCACTCCGCGCTCTGAATCACTGTGGCCTTTTTGTCCCTGGAGGTGATTTAGGGAAGGTGTGGGAAGCTGGTCTGGATCCCTGATGGGTGCTTAAGGAGAGGAGAGCATCAGGAAAATAAAGTGTTTGAGCCGAGTGTGGTTGTGCATGCCTGTACTCCTCCCTTGGGAGACTGGAGCAGAACGGTTGCTACGAGTTTGTGATCAGACTGAGCTATGTGGTGAGTTCGAGGCCAGCTAGAGATAGACCCTCTTCTCCTCCCCCCCTTAAAAAGAAACAAAAACAAGGGCTGGAAAGATGGCTCAGCCGATAAGAACACTTACTGTTCTTCCAAAGGACCTGGGTTCAATTCCCAACACTCACATGGTGGCTCATAGCCATCCATAACTTCAGTCCTAGAGGATCCAGCACCCCCCGCTGTAGGCACTACACACACATGGTTCACACTCATACAGGCAGGCAAAATATCCATACACACACACACACATACACACACTACATATATATATGTATATGTATAACAGGGTTTAGTTTGTTTTTTGTTTTGTTTTCTGAAACAGGGTCCTCTGTGTAGCCCTGGCTGTCCTGGAACTACCTTGTAGACCAGGCTGGCCTCAAACTCATAGAGATCCACCTGCCTCTACCTCCCAAGGGCTAGGATTAAATGTGTGTGCCACCACCACCGGGCCAGGAGTTCAGTTTCATTCCCAGCTACATAAGGCCAGCGTGGGCTATATGAGACCCTTTATTCAAAAGGCAGGGAGCTATGAGAGAGCTTGGGGGTAAAGCGCTTGGCTTGCAAGCCTGTGTTCAGTGGATGGAGAAAGCTAACTGCCACAAGTTGTACTCTCACTCTCCCAGACAAAAAACACACACATACATAGACAGAGGCTGCTTGTTCATTTCCTGGCTGCCCAAACCCAAAATAATCGCACAGAAACTATATTTTAAAACACTGTTTGGCCTATTAACTCAGGTTTCTTATTAACTAACTCTTACATCTTAAATTAACCCATTTCTATTAATCTGTGTATCGCCTGTGTAGGCATGTTACTCCTTCTGCAGCTACATGGCATCTCCTTGACTCCGCCTACTTTCTCTCTCTTTTTTTTTTTTTTTTTTTTTTTTTTTTTGGTTTTTCGAGACAGGGTTTTTCTGTAGCTTTGGTGCCGGTCCCGGAACTAGCTCTTATAGACCAGGCTGGCCTCGAACTCACAGAGATCCGCCTGCCTCTGCCTCCCGAGTGCTGGGATTAAAGGCGTGCGCCACCACTGCCCGGCTACTTTCTATATCTCTGTTTGGATTTCCCGCCTGGCTTTTCTCTACTAAGCCATTGGCTGAAACAGCTTCTTTAATAACCAATGGTAATAAAACGTATTCATAGCATAAAGAGGGGAATCCCACATCATCTCCTCATTTCTGTCTTAATAAAAAGGAAGATTTTTAACTTTAACATAGAAAAATTAAATATAACAAAACATATATATTTGTGTGTGTGTGTATATATATATATATATATATATAGAGAGAGAGAGAGAGAGAGAGAGAGAGAGAGAGAGAGAGACTAAATAGCCATGCATACATGCATATCAATGCATGTCTTTAATCTTGACACTTAGGAGATGAATGTAGGCCCTGGTCTACATAGCAAGTTCCAGATCAATCAGGGCTACATAGTGAGCTCTTGCTTTATAAACTAACTAAACAAATAAAATAGAGACTGAGGAAATAGCTCAGTTCCTAAAGTCCTTGCGAGCATGGCCTAAGTTTGAGTGTGAGACTCGGCTTGGTGATGAGCACTTTTAACTCTAGCATTGGTGAGGCTGAGGCCAGCCTCATCTACATAGCAAGTTCCAGCCATAGAGAGGGCCCTGTCTCAATATTTACAAAAAAAATAAATAAATAAAAGATATTCTCAGTGCTGGGATGGCAGAGACAGAAGGATCTTGGGGCTTGCTGGCCATGCAGTCTGGAGGATTCCAGGTCAATGAGAGACCCTGTCTCAAAGTAGATGATGGTGCTCTATGCCTCATACCTGGGGTTGTCTTCAGGCCTCTTCATACCTATGTATGTGCACACACTCTTTAAAAAAACAAACAAACAAAAAACCTGGGTATGTCAACACATGCCTGGAATCCTAGAACCTGGAATCCCAGGAGACTGAGGCAGGAAGATCTCCATGAGTTCAGTAACTTGCGCTATATGACTTCCAGGCTAGCCGCCTGGGCTACAGAAATTGACAACCTATCTTTAAGAAGAAGAAGAATAAAAGTGAGGTTTCCTGTCTTCTCCCCTCCCCAGCCGCTCATCCATGTCTTTGCAAAGAACCTGGTAGCGTTTGTGTCTCAAGAAGCAGGAAACAGAGCCGTCCTCCTGGCCATGGCTGTGAAGGACAAGAGCATGGAGGGGCTGAAGGCCTTGAAGGAGGTGATCCGGATGTGCCAGGTGTGGTGAGCTGAAGTCACAGTACATGACAGTCGGATCCGGTGGACACGCGTCAGGGTCTATGCGACCCATGTTTCTAGGACAGTCAGGTGGAGGCTCATTCTCTGGCTTTAGCCCTTGAAGCTGGGAACAACATTCAGATCTCAGGACTTGCCCTATGTGGCTACTGTGTTCTGCCTGGTGCACCGGAACTGTTCTGGGCTACAACAGAGGCATCTGCTGAGTGGAAATCACCCAGTTTGGGCACTGGCAGCCCTCGGTGTGCAGAGGCACCTGTGGGGAGACTTTTTTTTTTTATCAAAAATAAATCTAAAATACTTCGCTAGCCTTGTCAATAATGCTGAGACATTATGGTCATGTGTCAAGGTTCGCTTCAGGACACTGTAAGGAAAACCTCCTGTTTGGCAAAAGCACAGTGCATGGTTGCTGGCATGTGAGGTAGATCCCAGGCATGTGGGGTCATGGGCCAGAGCCTCAAATTACATAATATAGTGAGGGACAAGTGTGTGCAGAGACTGGACATGTGGGAAGCCAAGCAAGGGTGGAGTCCCTAAAGATGAGCTGGATGGGAAATCCATGGGGGAAGAAGAGGGCGCAGGTGAGCAATCCTCAGCTCAGAGAGGAGGAAGGCTTCTGAATCAAGTTGGGATCCGCTATTAGAAATACTTCCAAGGCTCACTGCAAGGATTGAGAGCCCAATATCAGGCCTGGACATTAGACTGGCATTGATGCCCAGAGTTGGCCTGTTGGTGCCCATTCCTCTGAAGATTGGCATCCTGGGACCCCTGGGGTCCCCTGCCATGGGAGGAGATGGGCAGAGGGTGGGGTCCCTGATCACAGCTGAGTGGGGATTTCTCAGGTCCGATAGGGAATCTGCTCTGACATTCTGATGGTCACCAGAGGAGAAGAGGCCACAGAGAAGCCGTGTAGAAGTCCAGGATGGAAAGCAAGCCAGTGCCTTTTCAGGGACCCAGGATGTCAGCTGTGTGCTCAGGAAACAAGGACGGAATTGCTGACTTGGCCTCTGAGCCAAAGATTCAGGAGTGCCTGCCAGGTCCGGGGATGGGCGGTGAGCTTGGGTAGCCACTTTCACTTAGAGTGGGTTGGGACAGCTGGGGACACTAGCTCAGCTGCGGTGGGAGTGGGGAGTTGTGCCCAACTTCTGGAAGGAGGTGTTGCTGCCTATAACAGGGGTGTCCCAAAGCCTCTGAGAGCCCCGTGCTTGCACCCCCATCCCTGGCAGGCAGCTCTCCCACACAACTTTGCCCTTTGTCCATCCTTTCCCAGACCCTGGTTTCCCTTCTCCTTTATGTCCCCTGGGTAGACTGATGGTGGGGTCTGGCACTTCTCAACCAGGCGTCCCCTCTGTAACCTCTTCCCCATCCTCCCAGTTGCCACCAGCCTCTGGAGAGTATGGGCCATCAGAAATCTCACAGGCCGTGAAGGAGAAGGACCGGTGTGGAATACAAACAGCTGGTAGAGCCAGCCAGGGCAGGGCATGCTCAGGTGCGCCCTGTAGGGTGGCGGCACTGGCCAAAGGTCTCTGTTTGGTATCACCCTGTGATTATTCAGATGGATAATAATCAGCAAGCCCCAGCTTCCTAGCCTTAGCAGATAGAGAGCACCCTGGGTGGAGCTCAAGGCCAGATCCAAGTTCTGGTTTGTGGCTTTGGTTTTCTGATTTGTTCCCTAGGCAGACAATTAACATGACCCATTGGGTGACCCATTACTTCCCTTTCACCAACCTTTTCCCGACACCTGTGCCCCAGAGAGGCTATGCAGCAGCTGTTCCCGGGTAAAAGAGCTGGGATTCGAGCCCAGATGAAGGACCCAGGCACCAGGCCCTTTAACAGCTCCTTCATCAATGTCAGCTCCATCCGCCAATAAGGCTCAGGGATGCTGGTTTTGCTTCCAGGCTTCTGGTCCTGGGTCAAGCGGTTTCCTTTCCAGTCATCTCTTTGGGTCCTCCACCAACCCAAAACGCAAGTGACAGAGTGTATTCCACATAAATGACAGCTGGGGGCGTAAAGGTAGCTTCATTCACTTTGTCTGCAGGGCTGGAGGCTGCCTGCTTGGGAAGGGGTACTGAAACTGACCTGTAGTTGAACCGGCTCTCTCTCCAAGCTGGGCAGTATTTACAGCTGCTTGGAGCTGTCTGGAGCTGTCTGGTAGCCGTAAAACACAGGCCCGTAACAAATGCCTTAATCATCTAAGCCAGTGCCCCTGGCCCAAATCTGCTGTGTAAATCAGCCAAGGCTCTACTGGAGAAGGGACCTGGCCAGAGCGTCCCCTGTGCTCCGCTGCTGCCGTAACTCAGGAGAGACCCACGTCACCCGGAAGCGATCCACAGCGCCAGCAATTCCTGGGTGGAAAGGATTTCTGTGGACACAGGCGCTGCACGTGGCACACACCTGGGGTAGATCTGTAATCGACTCCTAGCGCACGTAAACATAGACTGCTCTGCCTGTCACGTGCTCAGGCCAGGCTGCCCCCTAAGGGCCATGCCTTCGCCACCATGAGGTCGTTTAGCAGTTTTCTGCTGAGAGGAAGCAGCCTCCCCAGTGGCTAGGACAATGTGCTCTTGCTCAGTCGGTGACGGCACTAAAGAGGTCAAAGGAGGCCTAGGAAGGTATAAATCCTCAGGGGACCCTGCAGGAGCCTTTCCAGGAGCTTGACCAAGCCCTACCTTGCTCCCTATAGCCAAGTAAGCAGCACACAGGCAAGCCATTGAACTGTCCTGGCTTGAGGTTGAGGACTGGGAAATCAAGAGGCCCAGAGCTGTGATGAAAGACTTACCAAACTTGAGGGCTGGAGTTCCTATCTCCAGAACGCATGGAAAAGCCAGGCAGATGAAGCAGCTGCCCAAAATGCCGCATGCCACATACCAAAAGAGACAAAGACAAGCCCTAAGTGAGCAACTGGAGCAGGGGCCAGTGGTGAGTGAGGTCAGGAGCCTACATGATGCACAGGATGACTGCAGGGGCATTACCACTATGTCTTACAGTTTGCCATCACACATCGGGGCTTGTCCGAAGGATCAAGAGTGCTAGGCTCGGCTGAAAGTGGAAATAAACAGATTCTACAAGGACCACAAGATGTAAGACCCCAGAACCCTGCTCAAGTGGGAGAAATCTCTAGATACAAGCCCAAGTAACACAGCTTGAAAAGGCTATGTCCCAGGCCTCAGAGCCCACTGCAGAGTGGACATGGCACCTAAGGCCTCGTGGAGCCCTGAACCCAGCCCCACCACCAGACACTGGCTTCGGGGGTGACAGACTGCCAACATCATGATGGAAGGCCGAACACAAATGAAGCCTTGGGATTAAAGGGTGCTTGGAAGAAACAGGGAGATGGGGAGAGATCTTCAAAAAAAGATTTGGTGGTACCTACCACCCAGAACATGAGAAGCATTGGGCATCCCTCACAACTAGGTCCCAGCTGCAGCTCCCCAAGGCCATACCAAAGATGTAGGACAAACGAGATTTTTTTTTTACTTTTATTTTGTCCCATTTCATACATGTGGGGGGATAGTGAGAAAGTAAAGATTTTCCTTCTACCATGTAGGCCCTAAGGATCAAATCAAACTCAGGTCATCAGACTTGGTGGCAAGCACCCTTTTGTTTCCTGAGCCACCTTGCTGGTCCCAATCCCCAAGATTCTGTTAGTGCCCTGACCCACCCACTTTCAAAGCTCTTCCATGCCCTTGGACAACCATGGCAGTCACTTACTTAGCCTGTGTCTCCTGATGCCAGCATCCTGGGACAGACGTCAGTGACCTTGATTAGAGGTTAGAGGTGATGTCTGCCTTCAGGCGCTTCAGAGATGAAAGGAAAGGGAGCTGCGTGGATAAAGGGAGAAGCTGGAAATCATCCTTGCCCTTCAGTCCATACATGTCACTGGCATCATGACCCTACCTGAGAACCCATGTGGGATGTGGAGACCAGCTCCCACTGGGTTCATGGTCACAAGCCTGTCTATCCACGCAGCTCTAAGGACTTGGCCTGTGGACACTATTGACTGGGACAGGGAAAGAAAGGCTGGTCCCAGAATCCAGGATGACAGAGGGTGTGGCCAGGTGAAGGGTGTGTTCCTACAAGGCTGTTGGGCAGGCAAGGCAGGCCAGGCAGGACTGGGAGGAGTTTCAGGGCCTCTGAGAAGCCATGCTCGGGAAGCAGCAAGAGTATCCAAGGGGCCTGGGCTTCCCTGGTTGCTGAGAAGAAGGACAGCAGAGATCTGGAGACCACACTGAGGAGGGACCTCCTTAGGTCCGGAAACTGCAGAGTGTGTCCTGAGAAACCAAAGCAACGCACCAGCCCAGTGGGCCCTGCCAGCTGCCCAGAGCCACCATGGAGGTGAGCTGTGTGGGTGTGAGTGAGTGTGCATGCGTGTGGGGCTGGCTCAGGAATAGAATGGTGTCCAAGCAGTGGCCCCATGACACCAACACAGTGGGGACACACTTGCTGCCAAGAATCAGAGAATCTCATCCCCTAGCCAATCTTCTCCACCTGTGTCCAGACTCCCTCCTTACTATGAAGGGTCTCAGGACCAAGGCAAGGCTTTGCCCATCTCCAAGTGGAAGGGCCCCCAGGTCCACACCCAAGTCTGGCATCTGGCTGTGGGGCAAAGTCAAGCCCGGACAGGCCCCGACAGGTTCTCTGAAGGCTGAAGAGTCGGGTCTAGAGAGGAAGGTGGGTACAGGAGCAGGAGGGGGCACAGTTGGCAGACATCACGAGGATGACCCACCATGGGGTCTAGGGCCATTGGGCACAAGCAGATTCTACTCATCCTCAGGGATGAAAGTCGGATCCACCTGTGCTTCAGCTGACACCAAGGCAGCTGAGCTGGCTCTGAGCCCCAGGTCCTCACTGGCCTGGTGAGAGAACCTATAGCCACCTGAGATTAGCAACCCAAGTCCCCTCTGTGTGTCCAGACCCTCTGTGAAACCATAAACAGAAAGATAACAGCCTGGGGAAACTGAGGCAAGGCTTGATCATGTTGACTTGTCTGCCCCCACCTTTCTCAAGGCTACATCTATCCAAGTAGGGGCCACATCTTGGTCACCAGAAGGCACTACATACGCATTCTAGACTCGTATTCTAGGCAGGTAGGCTGGAAGTCTCAGCTGGAGGAGGCACAGGCAGAGAGAAGGGGTAGCTGTGGGGATCCCCAACACGGAAGGCCAGCAATCGGGACTCATCACCCAGACTTCCTGGAAGCCGCAAAGAGAGACACCCAGGGCCTCTCAACCTACCTGAGCACCTTGACCCATAGGGAGCTCTTGGCTTCATCTCCGCCCTGCCACGCCTCAGGTGTGGGTGCT